TGAATTTATTATTTAATATAAATTGAATAATAAAAAAAAATTAACTCCAATGTTCCAAAACATTTAGGTATTTCTTTATAGATTTGGATGACTTGATTATCTTTTGAGTGCCTTAATACTATATATATATATATATATTTCCATTAGTTAAATAACAATAATTACTACTATTAATTATTACCTAATAAATAGATACTAAATAGTTAATAAAACAATTTATTATGTATCTTATTCAATATTCATAATTTTAATATCATATGTGTGATCATTTAAATGTGTGGAATATCAGAAATATACGGCAATATTATTTTTCATCGTTCAGTATTCGATTTACATTTCACTTCATCGGAATTTACACTATATKKTGTGGTGTACCAATTGTGATTTAAACAGATATGTCTATAACTTCAGATCATTGTTATTAATCTATCGTATGAATGGCAAATCAGAATTTAAAATTACAGTTGACGTAATATAGTGATGATGAGTTGACACCTACATTAATCGGGTATGAATATTAAACCWTAAATCATGACATATGCAATTTTGACATGGTTATAACAATAGAACCGGAATTATACTTACTCGTATAAATTATAATAACTAATATGTATTTAGTATTGATGTATCAACACATCCATCTAAATGCCTAATACGTTTTAGTTAACACCACTCAACCACTGAAACTCTTTGTATACTACTTTATACGTATCTATTGGTACAAAATCATTCAAATAACATGCGAAACGATGATGATTAGATAAAATAAATCACTATGTGCATCTGTGATTTAAATAAATATCAATATTGTATAACATAAAATATTGGACATTTTTATGTGAATATTATATTAATATCACATCATTGAATATATAATATAAGTTTGGAAATCAAAAATTCTATTTCAAAAATATTAACGGTAATAGTTACTGAGTTTAAAATTTAAAAATGTGAAAATATTAAGTTTTTTTAAAATGTAATTTATGATATATTTTTACACATTCAGTATTCGTTCTGTCTAATTCATAACTAAATTATTTGTTTTAAATTATTTTGTTTACAATTATTGTATTGATATACTGTGGCTTGGCGAGGTGCAATCGTACGCTGAATTCATGGAAATACACTGAGAGTACGTCCCGGCTAACCGGGATTCTTAGCAACATAATATCATTGCCACACATACCCAAACACGTGTTACAGCYAAATTAAAACCGTAAAACAAAAATGTACAAAAATAACCCCTACCGCACCGTCCCACACCCAATGGCCTATGTTTATAAAATTATTTTTTCACGTTAATGAAAAAATAATACATATTACTACATTTACCTGGTGATATAACATGTAACGTAAATGTAGTAGAATTCGTATTTCCGGACTTGCAAGTGTACTTTCCAGAGTCAGATCTAGTAACACTAGCAAGTGTTAGTCGACTGGCAAAAAAATTCGATGATCTGTCCGTCTCCACACTCAGGCTACCTCTTCGGTCCTATAAAACAATACACTTTTTTAATTTAATCCATTTGATTTAATCCAAACTATGTTTCCTACAAATAATTATTTTATGCCAAATGTTCTGACTATCGCAATAATTGGATTAGACATCTGAAAATATATTTAAATTCTCATAAACCTTACTTGAAAAGAGATTTTCTACTTTGTACTGTAATCCATTCAAAATTTGATTTTAAGAGTCTAAAAGAATCAATAATATTGAACTCAAAAATTAATTTAAAATTGTAAGAAGGTAATTTTGAAATAAACATTATAAAGAATTTAAATTTGATTTTATTAATTGTATCTTATAACTATCTATATCTATACTCGTTCTCACAACATTCACTCACCTAATTTCACCTATTAGATAATTCTGTAACTCCTTAAAAACGAATTTTCCTAAATGTAGTATTTAAGGTGTATAATGTAGGATGATCAAAAATTGGCCAAATAATTAGTTACAAACTTTTATTCGATATTCATAAACTACTCGTATAATCCATTTATATGTGACAGTAACTAAATCTGTCTACATACGTTTCCCTGATAAGGACAAAATATTTGTCTCCCGGAAGATATACAATTTTAGACAATAACCAGAGATCAATTTCGATTAGAATAGTATAGGAAAACAGAGTGGTCTCAAATGAATCAATAGATACTAGCGTGACTAAAACGATTTAATTTGGATCAATTCTTTATAGATGGCATGAAGAGAAAATAAGTGAAAAACAAAGTTAACTAAATCGTAAGTAGTTAAGATACGTTTGTTGAAGACTGATAAGACCATTATAATATGAAACCTCGAAACACATCGAGTCAGAGAGATTGTTTTTTAAAGTCATCCGCTGACTTCTAAACATATTAAATTCAACTTTTATTGGTTGTTGAAAGAGTGTTATTGATGAATAACTTAAGTAAATTGTATGTTTCAACTTAATATGCAAAATTAAAAATAATTTAACTTGATTTAAAATCAAATTATTGTAAGTCTAACAAAATATAATATAATACGAGTATGTCGTCTTGGACACGATGTATATTTTAAAATTATAAAATACATGGAAATTTATTAAATTTTCTTAATATGTAACTGTATCGATACATTGATACCTATACGTTGTGTTTGAWGTTTAAAGAATATTTGAATGCACTTTTAACTTTAAATCCTATGAATGTGACTCGACAAGGTCTTAATTAAGTTATGTAAGTATAATTATTATTAATGTCAACATGTTTTATTCGACTGAGTTTTGTATTTTATCATGTTTTAATAAAAATTAGAATTTAATTAAATTTATTTGTCATAAATATGAAAACATTAAAAATAAAAAGATGGTTGAAGAAGACAATGCAAAATCATTTACGAAGTGAAAATAAATCTACTAACATTTTTATAATATTAAAAAATTACATAAACAATTTCTTTAAGTGTTACTCGTACATTCATAAAAAATTGAATGATTTATTTTGTATTTTTATTTAAAAAAATAATGCTCTTATAAAAAATAAATTCTTCCAAGTAGTACTATAGTAGCTACCAGACATTATTTAAYTTACTTAACAAATTTCATATTTTTTTTGAATTTTTACATTTTTTACAAAATATATTGATTTATATGAACAGTTATAGGTACGTAGAAAATTCTCGTTGAAACTGGATGTTTCAATGGAA